CAATGAGAACGCCCCCCACAGAAACACGATCCTTTCCCACGCCGACTACATGAGAACTGCGCGCCCGCTCTCCCCGCAGGCCGCCATTCCGGGCTGGCGTCTGGAGCTGTGTTTCTTCGACGACGCGCACAACCTGATGCTCGGCAAATGTCGAGATGTTGTCCCGTCTGCGCTCATAGATTTATACCGTGAGGGTTTGCTGGGAGTCGGTCGCCTGGACGATCTCCTCCTTGAGGAGTGGTCTAGAGCTCGGGATTGGTGCAAGGGCCACGGCTGCAAATATCCAGAGGTGCTGCCCTGTCGAAAATCCCCCCCCCCCCAAGGGACCAAGAACCCTCGACCCGAACCCCCTGCTCCTCAGGCTCTGGCTCCCCGGCCGCCGCGGCAATGCAGAGAGGTGGGATGAGGAAGATCTTCCTCATCCCACCTCTCCCTCTTCCTCGCCCTGCCCCCTCGAGGGGGCAGGGCGAGGAGGGGGGAGAGGATGCCTGACGGCGGGCGGGGGTGCGGGCGCGGGGAGGAGGAGGGGGCATATGGAGGTAACAGAGTTGTGAGCAAATATCCCAGGGGCCCCCGTTCTCGCTGCACTCGTTTGGCATGCGCACCGCCGTGACAAAGGTTTACCCGGAGCTCAGCTCGAAGGTGAAAGCAATGAGCACGAGAACTTTGATGATTTGGTTGAGCTCTCGGTGTTCCGAGCTCTGCGACAGTTCGCTTCGTAGCCGCAGGAGGTGCGCCCTCTTGAAAGCATTTGCAGTGTATTTTTCCACGTGCGGTCAACACGGTTTAGTTCTCCCTGTGAATGTCGCCGTCACTTTGAAAGATATGGGTTTGGCAGCGCTCAAAATACACCAGCTGCTGTACGCCGAATGTTTAGACAAAGACGAATATCTCTGGCGGATGCGCCCCAAAAGCCACATGTGGGAACATGGTCTGAGGGATCTCCCACATCATCGCCTCAACCCCATGTATATATGGACTCTATATGAAGAAGACTTTTTGGGTAAGTTTAAGAAGATGGGCCAAAAGACGGACCCTCGCACATCTTCGAGGCGAATGTTGCTCCATGCTTTGATGTACGTAGGGCAGCGTTGGGATCCGAATCGGTTCCGCTGCAGGTCTAGCAGCTGATTCGAGCGGCTGGGTTGCGCCGCGGCTGCCAAGAGAAATGCGTTGCTCTCGCTATGCCATGGCCCTGCCTCGCCATCACTCTGCAACGCTTTGGGCACGCGAGGGCGCAGAGGCAAGATAGGGGAAGGGGGGGGGGTGCCGCATGCGGGGGCAGGAGCGGGAGGCGGCGGGGGACAGAGAGGGGGCGGAACCGAACGTTTTTCTCGCCTTTGGGCTTCGCGGGGCGCCCTCGTGACAACGGCTGGACGCAGCTCGAAAATATCCTGGGTTGATCTTGGTCGACCTGCAGGGGGGACGCACGGCCGGGGCAACTCCCACACAGAAGACTTTGTAATTCGTCTGTCCAGCTAAGATCACGGCGTGTGATGGGCTCCTACTCCTACTCCTACCCCCCTTCCGTTCTGCCCCCCCCTCCTCCAACTCCTCATCCCTCGCCCTCTCCCTCACCTCCTTGTCCTCCTCATCGTCCTCGTCGTCGTCGTAGTCGTCGTCGTCCTCCTCCTCCTCCTCGCCCCATCCCCGTCCTCGCTTGCCCCTATTCCCTCCCCGACCCTCCACTTCGTTTTTGCGCCTCCTCCTCCTCCTCCCCCCTCCTCCTCCTCCTCCTCCTCCTCCTCCTCCTCCTCCTCCTCCTCCTCCTCCTCTTGTTCCTCCTCCCCCTCCCCTCCTCGCCCGTTCCTTCATCCTCCACCTCGCCCTCCTCCTCCTCCTCGACCTCCTTCCGGCTTGGCGCCCCGTCTGCCGTTGACTCTCTTCTCCTTCATCCCCCCCCCTCCCCCACTTCCCCTCCTCTCCTTCCTCCCACTACCCGTCCTCCTCCCCTCCTTCCTCTCTGCTCTTCTTCTTCTTTCCCCCCCCCCCCCGCCCTCCCCTCCGCCGCCGCCCTCCTCCTCCTCCTCCTCCTCCCCCTCCCTCCTCCTCCTCCTCCTCCTCCTCCCTCGCTTCCTTTCCCCCAGCCCCTCTCTCCCTTTTACCTCGTGCCCTGTTCACTCGGGGGCATTATATTGCGCCCTTGTACATGCAGCGATTTGCCGCACCTTCTTATATGCATGGCTTCGGCCTCTCCCCGCCGCCCCACGCGCGGCCGCGGCCGCCAATGGCGCGACAATCTCGAATGTGAATACCCGCCGCCGCGCCCCGTGGCACCAATTGGAACCTTCGTTCTGACGAGAACCCATGGGGCCCGAACTCTGCTGGACAGCCCAAGGCGCCCCCGAAGGCCCGACAAGCCCCCCGAAACGCTGTGGGGCCCCAGAAGATCCCGAACTAAAATCTGGAGCCCACCCACCAGATTTTGCCCCCTCAACATCCAAGGGCCCCAAACAAGTTCCCAGGAAATTGCGAGAAGAGGTTCCGAGCATGCTTCCAAGGGGCTTCCATAGGCCTCGCCCTACACATCGCCAGCAACCGCTTCTATTGGAACAATCCTGTTCAGGGTCGCTCCGCGCTGCGGAGCGCATTTTTTTTTTTGACGTCGGCTATGTGCCAGCGAGATCACTCTGGTAGCGGAGCGGGGCACATGCCAATGTGCGTTGTTTGTCGCGCTATGCGTTGTTTGCAAGACAACCGCATGTCCAAAACACATACGTTGGGTGCCCTCGGGAATGGGCAATCCCACAGGGCCGGAGCCGGCGGGAGAGCCCCATGGCGGCCGGAGTGCCCTTCCCAGCTGCTGCCGCGCGCGCGGCGCAGGAAGCGCGGAAAGCTAACCAGTCCTCGCCTCACACATCGCCGCCGTCCTCTGCGGCCGCGTGGTCTCGGGCGCCCTGCTGCAGTCCAACCAAGGCGAGGTGGTCTCGACCACCTGCGACCACTGTGGTGAGCAGCGCGTCCCGACGCTCGACCACATGTACTGGGTGCGCACAGCCAACGCCGACCTCCGGCAAGGTATCGCGGTACCAACGGCAGACCTCGCCCGCCGGCTGGGCTGACGGACAGAGGACCTCACCAGGAGGACCACGACTACTTGGATACAAATGGTCTTGGCTATGGCAAGCATGAGGCAGCGTGCGCTGGACCACCGACACAAGAAACCACAGGCACCCACTTCCTCCGACAATAGTTTGTAACCGTATTCAATGGTTATTATTTGGATCGCATGTGTCAACCATTGGATTATGATGTACTTCAGTTCTGCTTTGGGCTGGTGTCTTCTATTCTCCAGGTACACCGTCTACATATATGTGAGATTACATTACATATTTACGTAATTGCATGTGTTGCGTACCATAAGTGGGGACCGCCACACAACGGTCGCCGCAGCTCTGCGAGCTGCGTGGTGTCCTCATACGCCTACGGATTGGGGACACGGATTGGTTATTCCCCCTTGCAAACTTCAAGGAACCCACGGGTGATCAATGATTTGGGTATCACGGGGACCTCTTGGGAGGCCTCGAAGCTTCTTGGGCCGTCTTGGCGGCCTCTCGGGCGGCTTGGGGCGACTCTGGGGCGTCTCTGGCCCCTCATGTGGCCGCTTCAGGGCGTACTTGGGCCCGTGTGGCCGCCTCTTGGGGCCGTCTTGGGGCGTTCTTAGGCCGTTGTGGGCGCCTCTTGGGCCGTGCTGGTGCTCTTTTGGGCAGTTTTAGGGCCCTCTTGGGTTCTGTTGAGCCCACCTTGGGGGCGCGTTGGGCCGCCGGGGGGTGATGTTGGAGGCCTCTGGGGCAGTTCTGGACGCTGTGAACCCCCAAGCGTCACGCATGCGAGAACTGTACGTTGCTTGGTGGGAAAAGGGGCGAATTTGTTTGTTGGGCCGTCTTGGAGAGCCTCTTGAGGCTCACTTGGTGCTTTTTCGCGGCCTCTGGGGCCATCTGGAGACAATTCTGAGCGTCTTGGAACGATCTTTCGGCGACCCGATACCTCTTAGGCCGTGTATGGGGGCGCCCTGGCACCCTCTTGGCGCGCTCCTGGAGCGCCTTGGGGGAATCAGCCAGGCATCGCCCGGGTATCGCCCGGGGTACTTTTTCGTCCGAGGGTTTCCAGGGGCGGCCATGCGCGCGCGCGAACTAGAAATATTGTTAACATGTTTCCCGAGAGTTCAACGCGCCTCTGGCCCGTTGAGCTAAGCGTTGCGTGATGCACTATCAATGACGGCTTCGAGACGGCGAATCGATTGTAATGCGCAAGTGATTGTGGCTTCGGGAGCGCGAGAACGGTGTACTTTACAGGGGACTGTTGCTTCCGGAGTGCGAACGCGCTGTGATGTATGAAGGTGTTTGGTTTCGGGTGCGCAATCTCTTGTAGTTTAGAAACAGTCGTCGTCTCGGAAGCGCAACCCCGTAGTAATGCATCAGGGGTTGCGGCCTCGGGAGCGCGACTTTTTTTTGAATTTTCCAAGGCGTTGCGGCCTCGAGTGCGAGCTCTACATACTTTACAAGGATTTGTGTTTTCAGCAGCGCGAATCGGAAGTGGGCGCCCGAACAAATTCAGATATCCCACGGCGGGGGGGTAACAAGGAGGTGTTCGTGGCTGGGCCATTGGGTGGATTTCAATCGTTCCAGCATTGTATTTCCTCTCTCTCTCTCTCTTTCTCGTTCTCTTTATGTCGCACGTATCCTGTATAGTTCGCTCTCGCTCTCTATTTCTCTCTTGTCTCTGGTTTTTGTTTTTTCTCTGTCTTCTCTCTCTCTCTCTCTTTCTCGCTCCCTCTCTCTCTCTCTCTCCTCTCTCTGTCTTCCTTCCTCTCTCTTTCCCTTTCTCTCTCTTCCCTTCGTGCCCTTCGCACGCTGCGGCTTCCTGGGGTGTCGAGGAGCCTCCTGGGGCCTCGCGGGGCCTCCTGCGGGTCCCGCTGGGCCGGCCCTCTGGGAGCCTCCTGGCGGCCTGGGGCCACTTGTGACTCCCTCGCACTCGCTCCCGCGGCCTCCACCGCGCAGGCGTCGACGACGCTGGCGGAGGACCTTCCCTCTGGAGCGGACGCGATAAGCGTAACGTCGCAGGCGCCGCGGCCCTGCAGCACGTTGTCGCCCTCCCTCGCTGATGTGCGATTGGGGCACGGCCGAGGTGATGATTACGATGATGGCGATGGTGATAGTGATGGTGATGCTGATGGTGGTGTTGATGGTGGTGATGGTGCCAATGACGAGGACGTGGGCGGGGACGACACTGACGTCGACGACCACGACGACGACGCCGATGCCGCTGGCAATGTCGACGAGGATGACGGTGACGACGAAAGGATGATGATAACGATGATGATGGTTATTTTGAAGTGATGGTGATGACGAACCTGCTGAGGATGACACTGATGATGATGGCACTGATGATGATGATTGTGAAAAAGCTGATGATTATGATGATGATGTTGGTGATGATGCTGATGATGATGATGATGATGATGGTGAGGTTGTGGTGGTGGTGGTGATGAGGGTGGTGACGAGGATGATGAAACTCATGTTGCTGATTATGAATATGATTACGATAGTGGTGGTAATGATGATGGCGATGATGATGATGATGATGATGATGATGATGATGATGATGCTGATGATGATGATGATGATGTGGTGGAGATGGTTGTATCAGGACGATGGCAGGGGCGACGACGATGGTTATTATTAAGGATGATGACGGAGATGAGGATGTCCACGGCACTGATGATATCATAGTGAATGTGGACGATGTGACGATGCTTACGGCGATGATGATAATGAGTTCCATCATGGTGGTGGTCGTGGAGTAGGTGCTTAATATTGGTGGATGTTGATGGCGAAGGTGAGGAGGACAAGCACAACAGATCACACCCAACTCAGTTGCTCGAGCGTAATGCGTATGTGAAGTCATCGCGACGGAAATTGGCGAGGGCACAGAATGACGAGAGTTGTTCTTCCTCTTTCTCTACATATACACATGCGTCTCGACTATCTGCTTACCAAGCCTTCGCCGCTACTATAGACTTTGTCATTCTACACTCTACACTCCACTTTCTTCTATCGTTGTGGGCATTGACTGATCTTGATTCTCCACTCCTCAGCCATAGTCTATATCCTAGACTCTCTGCTCTATGTTCTCTCTGCTTTTTCTTCTCGGTTATCTGCGCTTTGCTCCATGCGCTCTGCCCTCTACTCTCTACGACATCGCATATACGTTCTACTCTGGACTCCATCTACCGGCTGTACTCTGTTCTGCTTTCGATAGCTTCTGACCTCATCTATCTACATCCTCTGACCAGTCTCTCTTCTGGGACCCCAGGGCCCGGGTCGTCCGCTGGAATCTGTGTAAATTTTCCACCAAGAACCATAATCCGGAACCCAGGAATCAGGCACCCGCTAACCGGCCGCCTGTTTTGCAATTTCTGCGAGGATCCTTTGAGTGCGAGCATTGATTGGGGTACGGCGTGACGAGACAGATGTTGGCGACAACTACGACAACGATGACAATGATGATGATAACGATGATTCTGATGATGCTGCGAATGATGATAGCGATGATCATGATGATGTTCATGATCATGATTGTATTTACCTATACGACCACCCTGCGGGTGATAAGGAGGTTGGGGGGGGTGGAGGGGCCGAGCAATCGGCAACAGTGGTGATTGTTCTCCTGACGATGCCAGGTGAGATTTTTTCTCGGAGGCCTGCTGAGGTTCCTCTCCCTCCCTTTGTCGGGTTGCACATGTTGCAAATGCAATTGATGAGAACTGCTGCGACAGCGACGGCGGCGGCGTCCTGTCGGCGTATCCCTTTTTATGTACACGGACCAACTCCAGGGGCCCAGACGCACCAGTTTTTCGATTCGCTTCCAGCCGCGGCGGCGAGCAGGGCCTCCGAGGGCCAGGAAACGTCGACCTAACCTCGGCGCCAATCTCAAAACGGGACCAGGACCCCTCCCAGGGGCCCGCGCAGGCGTCTTGTCGGCGTATCTCTTTTTATGTGGACGGCCGAACTCCACGGGCCCAGTTTTTCCAATTCGCTTCCAGCCGCGGCGGCGAGCCCGCGCGGCCGCCCGAAGGAACGGGGCGCGCTCGGAGAGAGCGGCTGGCAAAGCCTAGCCTGTACTGGTGGGTGCACGGGGCCTCGCCCGCACGCACGGCACGCATGAACACGAAACCGAAATCGATTTCCCGGTAGGGGGGCTCTCCGTTCCACTTCGATCCCACCCCCGACCTCCGATCACAATCGATCTCACAATCGACGTCGTCATCATCATCATCAACATCAACATCATCATCATTATCATCATCATCATCGCCATCATCAACATCATCATCACCATCACCATCATCATCATCATAATCATCATCAACATCATCATCGGGACACCGACGGGACACCCACGGGACACCACCGGGACACCGGCGGGACACCGCTCGGCCCCGCGCCCCGGTGGAGAATCATTTGGTGCGGCCGCGCCTCAGCCACAGAGGACACCACCGAGACACCGGCGGGACACCGCGCGGCCCCGCGCCCCGGTGGAGAATCATTTGGTCCCGCCGCGCCTCAGCCACAGGAGACTTTCCTCTCGCCCGCCCACGCAGCTTCGCCTCGCCCGCACGCGCGGCACGCACGAACACGAAACCGAAATCGATTTCCTGGTAGGGGGGCTCTCCGTTCCACTTCGATCTCACCCCCCAATCTCCGATGATGCTGCTCTTGTTCATGATCATGATGACGATGATGAAGTTGATGAAGATGATGATACTGACGATTATGACGATGCTGATGATGATGATGATGATGACGGTAATGGCGATGGTGATTGCGACCATGACGATGATGATGACGAGGATGATGATGATGATGTGACGACTCTGATGACGCTGATCAGGATGTTGCGAACGATTACGATGAAAACGCCGATAATGATGATGTTGATCATGATGGCGACGATGGCCACGATGACAATGATCATGATGCAGATGAGAATGATGATGATGACGATGATGATGAGCATGGTGAGCATGATTATGAGGATGCTGCCGATGACGATGACGATGCTGATGGTGAGAATAATAATGATGCGGATGAGTATGACGACGGCGACGGTGACGACGATGTGATGGTGATAGTGTTAACGGCGCTGACGACGAATATGCTGTTGATGACTTTGTCGATGATGATGATGCCGATGGCGATGACGACAAAGACACCGATGATGATGATTATGATGATGATGGTCTTGCTGGTGACGATGGTTATGCTGTTGATAATGATGTTGCGGATGACGACGATCAGGGTGATGCTGATTAGGATGATGATGATGATGGTGATGCTGATGGTGATGGTGATGGTGATTATGATGATGATACGTACGCCGATGATAATAATGATGATCATGATGACCATGCCATGCGGAAGAGAAGCAGGCGGATGATGATGATGATGATGATGATGATGATGATGATGATGTTGATGATGATGACTATGATGCTGGTGATATTGATGCTGATGATGTTGATGCTGATGATGATGACGATGATGAGAATTATGATGGTGGTGGTGGTCCTGTGTGATGATGATGTTGGGAAATAGCGTCTTCTCAGTACGCTGGGGGAAGTCAGTTGGCTAGAACGAGCTCGAAAGTCCCTGCAGGGGGTGCGGCGTCGTACTCTCCGTCCGTCGACTCCCTTCATCCCTCGAGAGTGGATGCTGGATGGGGGTTCGAAGCCCCCCTTTTGAACAGTCTGGACGGAGTTTCGAACTCCTTCTCCTCCCTCCCCTGCGCTTGCAAATGACAACGACAATGAGGATGAGGACGACCAGCGACGACGATCACGACGATGTGTCCCGCCCGCCCGCCCCGGCGCCGGCAATCGACGAAGATGGCGACGTGTCCCGCCTGCCCGACCGACTCGCCCACGACGACGTGGCCAGCCCGCCCGAGCGACTGACTGACTTGCCGACGACGACGGCTGCGACGACGGCGACTACGATGGCGACGGCCAGCGACAACGACGGCGATTGCGATGTTGTCGTCGTCGTCGTCGGCCAGCGGCGGGAAGGGGGTTGAAGGGGGTTTCGAACCCCTCACCCGCAGTCTTTCGGGAGGGGGGTTTAGTGGGGGGTTCGCACCAGGGATGGGGTGGGGCGTGCCCTGGCTCTGGAGAGGAAGGGGGATATTTTCTGGGGTCGGGGGGTCCTGGTTCCAGGGAGGGGGAATGGCGATTTTGCTGCCAGTGCAGCTTGCACAAGAATTGTCTTCTTGCTCATTTGACGATCGTCATGCCGACGATGGCGATGACAATCCATCAACGCGGTCTCTACACGCGCAAATGTCGCACGGTCTAGCAGGCGTGGAACTTTCTCGACACCAGAGGGGGTGCGCAGGGGGTGGTCCATCAGCGCAGTCGCTATACGCGCCAATGCCGCAGGGTTCAGCAGTCGTGGCACTTTCTCGACACCGGAGGGGGCCCGCAGGCAACGTGGCAGTCTTGACATTTTGTTGATTCTATTTCGTGGGCAGTATTCACAGGCGTAGCAAGCGTGTATGCGGCAGAAGTATGCTCAGCAAGGCTAAATGTACACACCTCGGCTCAAGCAGGCTCAAATATAGATAGCAGGCGCCCACAGGCATGCCCCCCAAATGTGCAATGTCAGCAATGCCACTTCCGTGCGTCACTCTCTTGAACAGAATGGTCGAGATGAGCGTCGACGTTAGCCTGGCAGTGTCGCGGACGTAGTAATAGTAATAGTAGTAGTATTTGTAGTCGTAGTAGTAGCAGTAGTAGTAGTAGTAGTAGTGTTAGTAGTAGTAGTAGTAGTAGTAGTAGTAGTAGTAGTAGTAGTAGTAGTAGTAGTAGTCGTAGTCGTAGTCGTAGTCGTAGTCGTAGTACTTGTACTAGTAGTAGTAGTAGTAGTAGTAGTAGTAGTAGTAGTAGTAGTAGTAGTAGCAGTAGTAGTAGTAGCAGTAGTAGTAGTAGTAGTAGTAGCAGTAGTAGTAGGAGTAGTAGCAGAAGTAGAAGTAGTAGAAGTAGGAGTGGTAGTCATAGTTGGTATTT